CCGCCTCGAGTTTGCTCGCAGGTGGGCGGGTTTGGGCGGCACGAGCGCGCGCTCGCCGCGGCGCGGAGCAGCGTTCTTCGGCTGCGGGCTCTCTGAGCATGAGCCGCCTTTGCAAGGGTGGCAGCGTCGACGACAGCTCCCCCCCACCCCCTGCCCCTGCAATTCAATAGGATGCACTTCAACGCAGCAATGCTCGACCTGCACAGCCGCCTCCACCTGCTAGACCAGCGCCGGGAGGCGCGAGATAACAAAGTAGAGCCCGCACCTGCGCTCGAGGCCGGCGCGCCGCCGCACGGGACCGCCGTCGGCGGCAGCGGTGAAGGCTCGGAGGAGGCGGGCGGCAGGGGCCGCGTGGCGGCGGCGCTGCTGGATCAGGCGCTTGAGCTTGGAGAGGAGTTGGAGGGGCAGCGGGGCCGCCAGCAGCAGCAGCAGCAGCAGCAGCAGCAGCAGCAGCAGCAGGGTCAGGCCGCTGCTGCAGACGATGGCGGCGACGCGGCGGGCGAGTCGCAGGTGCTGCGCTGGTTCGACCCGGAGTCGCGGCGGCAGCGCCAGGCGCGCGCGGCGGTGCTGGCTGTCAGGAGGCACCAACGAGAGGCGCGCGCCGGCCGCGCCCCGCGCGCGCGGCTGGCGGCGGCCAACGCGGCCGTCATGCGGGCGGCGGCGCGGAGCCTGATGCGGGCGGAGGGTGGGGACCCGGCGAGCGGGTGGCAGCACGGGCGGGGGCACGCGGCGGCGCTGCTGTGCTTCGACGAGCTGCAGGTGTGCTGTGAGGCCTTGCGCCTGTGTTTAATTTACCGCTTTCGGTTCCAGAGAAAGCCTCACACTCGTGGGGCGGGAGGAGGAAAAACAGGCGGGTTGCTGAGGAGAGGCGAGACGCATGGCCCTGCAAAAACGCACGCGCCACAGCCCGCCAACTCTTGGCTCGACATGGCATCCTTCATTGCTTCTGCAAGCATCCACCAACCTGCTTGTGCACATTCGAGCGTGCACGTCGTACTCGCGATACGCACACAATCACAAGGAAACACACACACACACACACACATACACACATGCGCGCTCCGCCCCGTCACCCAGGTGACTGATGTGTGGAGCGCGGTGGCGCTCAAGGCGCTGCTGGAGGCCCTCACGGCGGAGGGCTGCGTGGTCGTGATGACGTCAAACAGGTTTGTGCAGTGACATCATGCGGTGTCAGCGGGCGGGCACAGGCACCTGCATGTCAAAAGGCAGCTGCCCAGACCTGAGGCCATCTGCCTGCAAGACTTTCAGAGGGCATCAGTGGGGGGACTAGACGCGACGCCAGCCGTCGCGATGCCCTGTTTTCCTTGCCGCTCCCACTTTTGGCGGGAGGGCCGTTTTGCTGCTCGACAGGACCTGCAGCAACTGGCGGAGAGGGGGCCTAGATGCAGGCTGCGAGTATGCAGTGGTGTGGAGCGGGCCATCTCGTCCCCCTCCAGGAACTGTGGTAACTTGGGGGAGTTGACCGTGTTGCTCCCCTGCACTCGACACCCTGCATCCTGCGTCCACCCGTCCTCAGGGCCCCGCACGAGCTGCCGCGCCATGGCCTGCACGAGGCGATGTGGGAGCACTTCACACACAGGTGCGGCGCGGCGGCCGCCCTCAGTGCGGTGGTGTTGAGCGCTGCGGCCGCCTTGACGGCCACGGTGCATTGCTGCAAACAGCGGTTGAATGTACGGGGCCCTGCAGTGGGGGGCAGGTTGGAGGGACGCCAGCGCGGCGCTGCGGGGGCGCTGGGAAGGCAATGGGTGGTGGGCTCAGGCGGTTGATAGGTGTGACCTCTGCTGCGTATCTCCCGGCTTGATCATCAAGTTCGGCTTGGCTGCCTTTGGGGTTGTGGGGCGACACCAAAAAAATCATGCTGCCACGCGGTCCCTGCCCTGAACCCGTATCGCGGCCGAATCCCTCGCCCGCCCCTGCTCCTACCCCCAATCTCCCCAGCCTGCTGACTTCATGTGACGTCATCGAGCTGTCCGCCGCAGACGACTACCGTCGGCTGACGCTCGAGGGCGGCGCGGCGCGGCGGCTGCAGCTGCCGCTGGCCCCGCCAGCTGTCCCTGCTCACCCTGGCGCAGCCGATGCGTCCCTTCCCGCGGCGCCTCTCGGGCTGGCTGCCTTGGACGGCGCGGTCGGCGGCAGCAGCGGGATTTCGCTCGAGAGTGAACGGCTGTATTTCTGGCCGCTGGGGCAAGCAGCAGAAGCCGCGATGGAGCGCGTGTGGCGCGGCGTCGCGCCGCCGGGCGCGGCGGCGCCGGCGCCGGCGGTGGTGCCCGTGCTCTTCGGGCGCGAAGTGGTGGTGCAGCGGTCGGCGGGCGGCGCGGCCTGGGTGAGGGGGCGTGGGCTTGTTGGGGGAGCGCGCTGAATCTGCGACCCCGCCGGCAGCGCTCCTCAAAGCAAGGCGCCTTTTCATGCACCCAACCTCTCGGGATCTCACCCTCCACACACACCCTCGGCTTGGCCCGCGCCGCGCTGTTGACACAAACCCCCCACCCCATCCTGGACGAAGTGCAACTGATGCAGACACCCCATCCCACCCCCCCTTTCCGCGCACCCCTCTGGCTCAAAAGTTTGATTTTTCGGAGCTCTGCGCCCGCCCCCTGGGCAGTGCCGACTACCTTGCCCTCAGCCACCGCTTCCACACTGTGTTCATATCAGGTGAGCTAGGGGGTCGACAGTGATTCTTTCACTCATACCAAAAATCTGGAATTATGTCGAGACGCTGTCTGCCATGCGCCCAGCCCCCACACGCGCCCTTTGCGCACGCACCCGGCCCAGTCCAACCGTTCACCTCCGCCCCTAAACCATCCCACGCCCCAACAGGCGTCCCCGCCATGTCCATGCAGGTCAGGGACCAGGCGCGGCGCTTCATAACCCTCGTGGATGAGGTGCGCCCAACACCCCCCCCCTGCGCCCTAACCGCCTTGGTCGCTCCCAATCCCTCACCCTGAGTGCCCCTTTGATCCGACAATCTGCGATTTGTCACTCCTTGGATCGCGTTTGCTGAGCGCCCACACGGAGCTCATGTAAATGCCTTCATGGCGATCCCTGATAAGCAGCGGGCGCACTTATCCCGCGGGCAGCTGCCTGATTCGAGTCTGTAAACCCCATAACCCCCAGCAGCTTCTGCCGACCCCCCAGCAATAATAAACCCCCCGCACTTGCCCTTCCCACCCAATTCTGATTCGCCGATGCCTGACAACCCCGCAGCTATACAACGCCAGAACACTGCTGGTGCTGTCGGCAGACGCAGCGCCGGACGCGCTGTTCGGGGGCGCGGCCGCCGGGGAGGAGCCCATCATTGACTTCGAGGGCCTCCAGTTCGAGACGGCGGCGGAAGGTGAGGGGCCACTGCCTCTGGCGCGGGGTCCCGAGGGGCCGCTGAGCTGCGCGTGTGTTGGAGGGCGTGCTCAGCCTTGTAGGAGATAGACGCACATCCGCCGGCAGAAACCTTGCTGGGATTGTCAGGGCCCCTTATCCCTAACGCACACGCACACATACACATAACACGCAAGCACCAAAATGTGTCCGCGTGCGCCCCGCCCTCCGCAGGCGCGCGCCTGCGGCGCGACACGCAGGCCGAGGGCAGCGTCGCGCCCGTCGCGTCCACCGAGGCCGCTGCGCGCGCCGCTGCCGCCGCGCTCGGCGGCGCGGAGGAGCGCTTCGCGTTCGCGCGCGCTGTGTCGCGGCTGTACGAAATGCAGTCGGCCCTCTACATTCGAGCGCGGGCGAGGGCGTAGCTCGCGCCCGTGCCTGCGCACGCGTGTTGGTGCGCCCTCGCGCGGACGGCCACTGGGATCTGTCGGAGCGTCCCAGGTTGAGAGATACCCGGCACGGAGTGATTTGATCTGTGCGCGGCTTCTTTTGCAGAGTGGAACCCTGCAGCGTCGTGATAGATGTTGAGTTCATTTGGCCGTGCCTGCGCATACCTTTGGCTCGCCCTGCACACCGCAGCCTATGCGACGGGCCCTAACCCACACCGCAGTTTCACTTCCCTCGAGCATTTTAAAAGCCTGCTTCGAGCGCAAGCTGGCGCTTCCCATTTGTTTCTAGGGTTTGTGTTGTACTGCAAACCCTTGGAACTTTCAAGGCACAGTGTGCCGTTCTGACTGACCCAGCCACCGCATCCGCTGTTTCTGCCGCGGCGCGACCCTTCCTAGGGCGTTTACTTAGTTGTGACGACTTACACGAGCGGGCATTGCCGCTGAGCGTTGAGGTGCGATTGGTTTGAATTTTCAGATAAAATGGGTTTTTGAAACCAGCAAGCTGCCCATCTGTGGTCACTCAAACTTGCCGTAAGAAGAACGCAAACGCCAAGGGAGGGCGGTGGGAACGCATAGTCAGCGTCCCAAAACTCGCGGCCATGCACTGCGGCGATTGGCCTGCGCCACAGACAGCAAGGGTGTGCTTGTGGCACATGCCAGGGCGGGCGAGGCACCAAAATGCAGTCCGAACTCGGTCAAACATGTGCAGGAGTTTGCTTCAGACGAGGCACAAAAATTGCCACCAAAAAGGCCATCTGCTTTGCAGCAGGGAAGCTGTATGCTGCTGCTGGCAGCTCGCAGCGCGTTTGTTGCGACGGGCTGCGTGCAGGGGCGAGGGCGCATGCCCCACCCTCTAATCTGTGTCCACTACCCAATCAGGCTGGGCAGGCGCTGCTGTCAATCGCAAAGCCGGGATCGCAGCGCGGCCCGTTGCCGTCGGGGCTGTCGGGCGCGCCGACGACGTCCCACGCGGCCGCCACCGCGGCGGCTTCCTTGGAGCTTCCCGGGAACAGGTCCTGCGCCGCCTTCACGGTGGAGGTCCTCGCCTCGTAGTAATCCGTCACCGGCGAGAAGTAATTAGTCAGGGCGCGGTACCACACGTCGCAGGCCTTGCGGATGCCTGGGTGAGCAGGCGGTACGAGCGGGACAGAAAAATTTTGAGCCATTGCAAACAGACGCATGTGGTTGTTGGGGACCGCTCTTGCCAAGCTTGGCGCTTGCAGGCATTTATGTCTCCGCGTTTCCGTGTTCCGCTGGTCAGACTCCCTTGTCCCCCGGCAGGGGAAAATCTTGCAGCTGCCCCCGCACCGCCCCCGAGCCCCCGCCGCGCCCGGCTACCCACCGATCGGCTCGGGCGCGCCGCGCCGCTGCGCACCGGGCTGGCAGGCCAGCCCCTTACTCATCAGCCAGAACGCGCGGTTGGCCGGCCCCGAGCTCCAGTGCACGTCCACAAAGCAGTACTGGCTGCCGCCGTCGGCACCCCCGGACCCGGGGGCGCCGTTTGGGCGCGGCACCCAGGTTGCGTCAAAGCTGGGGTGCCTGCGGGGCCGGGGATTCAGCAAGAATTCAGCAAGAATTCACGGCAAGGTTTGAGTGTTTTGAGTGAGGAGCCAAGCTGCACTCTGCATGATACCTGCCGCTGTCTCCATCACGTGCTGTCTTCAAAAGATGTAAACGTGCACCACGTGTGATCTGTGTAACTGCATGCAGCGACATCCTTTTTAAATGATTGAAAGCTGCAAACCGGGTTAGCACAGGCCAGCGGGCGCACCAGCAGCTCCAGCTCTTGTTGTCGTCTGCAGGGTTGACCATTGACCGGATCCAGGGCTGCTTGCAAGAGGGACTGAACATCTGGGAACCTGGGAAGAAGCTGGCCGGGCGCGGGGTGGCGCCGGTGGACTGCGCAAAGTCCTGGATGCAGACTGGAGGGCGGGTTTGACGCGCAGCGGAGTGGGCGAGTGGCGCGTAGCGTGAGTTCATGCAAACCAGCGCAGTAAGGGTGTGGCAACGCCGGTGAGCGCAAGATGGGAAAACACAGGTTGACGAGGGCAGTACTTGCAGGTTGGTTGATCCATTTCTGTAGGCGGGAAGGCATGAAACAGCTGGTTCCCTGCTTTTAGGTCACAGCGGCAGAATCAGTGATCAGCGCACCCGACATGATGTCGGCTGTGGCTTCGTTCAGGCCCCCGAACGAGTAGGCGTAAGAGAGCTGCGAGGAGCTCTCAATCACGCCGTGGGATATCTGCGCGGGACGGCGGTACAGCGGTGCAGCAAGGTTGCGCCTGGTGGGATTGTAGAGACTCACGAGGTGCACGGCACGAGCGTCGAGATTGCAGGTAACGTGCAAACTCAACCACACCCGCGCCAGGCGCAACGCATCTCGTGCACTCGTAGCCAGCAAGAGTTGGCAATGGATTTGCTAGCGAGTCTGGTGGATTTGATGCACTGCCTGGAACCTGGGCACAAAGGCAAGGTGCCTGTATGGTGAATCTCGATCGTGTAATGACGACAAACCTCGTGCCCGGTGATGTCGAGGGTGACCATCGGAGGCAGGCCCTCGCAGGTGCTGTACAGCTGGCCCGGCGGTCGCGAGCCGTCCCCGTACGTCACATAGTTGTCCGTCCCTGCCAATAGCGGTAATTGTATTAGATATATGTTGGTGGTAATATAGCTTGTGTCAAGTTGTCGGTGACACCCTAATTAATGAAAGTGGTGGGAGGACACATGCCATAGCACTGCACCGAATCTCAAAAATGCAGGCGCCCAAATCGCTCACAATAGGCGTCGTCGAGCCGCCTCCCGAGGTGGGTGCGCCCGAAGATGGGCGTGCCCCGCCCGTCAATGCCGAGGCGGCCGTGACGCTGAAGGTAGTAATCAAAAACGATCTGAGGGGGGGATTACATGAGGGCGCAGCAGGACAGAAATCACAGTGACAATGGATAGATCCGAGGCTCGGGCAGTCGCCGCGGTGACCGTGTTGACCGCATTGGCAGCTGTCTGGAGGGCATTGTCAGCCTGATAGTGATGTAGGCATTGCAAAAAAGCACAAGCCTTAACCTTCGCATGACAACAGACGGCCAGGTGTGCAGAGAGACTCACCCCCATCCCCCAGTGCGCGTCAGCAGCGGCGGTGGCTCTGTCGGTGGCGCGCCCGTTGCCCCTGCGGTCGGATTTCCGCAGTTCGTCAAGTCAGCGGCTGATGGTGGCAGGGTTCCCGCTCATATGCAGCAGCAGCAGCAGCAGCAGCAGCAGCAGCAGCAGCAGCAGCAGCAGCAGCAGCAGCAGCAGCAGCAGCAGCAGCAGCAGCAGCAGCAGCAGCAGCAGCAGCAGCAGCAGTAGCAGGGGCCCCCTCCAGCACCACAAACACAGTCTGCATGTGCAGCCAGGGCCATCAACTGCCTTCACACACACTTATACACACACACACACACCCACACACACACACAAACACATGCACCAGCCGAGCAGGCCTCACCACTGGTTCTTCCTCGAGTTGACCACCTCCCCCATCGCGCCGCCGTCGCGCCCCTCGTCCACGCGGCCCCTCAAGTCGTACGTCTTCAGCCCCAGCCGCTTCAGGTCAGTCAGCACGTACACGTCGCTCGGGCGGGCGCCCTTGTTCGTCAGCCGCGTCACTTGCGCGGTGTCGAGCGGGACTTGGCCAGAGTACAGCGTCTGCCCAATGCCCTGGCTTGCGATCATGCTGGGGCCGTCGTACTTGCGCGCGAGGATCGCGTTGATCCGCTCCGCCGCGCCGCGCGCCTCGGGGGTCGAGGACCGCGCCTTGACGTACGCCGACGGCGGCAGCAGCGACGGCGGCGCGACGGCCGCAGGGCCGGGCGGCGCGGCGGTTCCGGCAGCGCGGAAGGTGCGCAGGCGGTCGTGCTGCGCGATGACAACGCCGTCTGAGGCGGAGACGTACACGTGCATCTCCCTGGGCGCCTTTGTGGACGTGTAGGCGGCGGGCACCATCACCTGCTGCCGCCACGCGGCCTGGCACGTGCCGTCGCCGGCGCAGTAGACGACACGCCGCGGCTCCCCGCGCGCACCGGCGGCCTCGTATGGCTGCGCCGCGTCTCCGCCGCCGCCGCCGCCGCCGCCGGGCAGGCCGCGAGGCACACCGCCGCTGCCGCCAGCATGCCGCCGCCGCGCGCGGGCCACGGCCGCCTGGACCAGGGTGGCCGCTGGACTCGCGCCAGCGGTCGCTGCGCCGCCGCCGCCGCCGCCTGCACCTCCGAGGGCGGATTGGACGCCGATGCTTGTGGCGACCTGGCCTGTGATGGGACCGTAGCCATAGCTGACGCGCCCGCCGCCGCCGCTGCGCTTCAGTGCGCCGGCCGCAAGGCGGCCCTCGACGTCGTCGATGTAACCGCCTGCGGGCGGTTTTGAGACGCGGGTGGATCGAGGATCATGCTTATGGCTCAGCTCCAGCAGCATTGTCCGTCGTCAGGGTGACAAGCGCTGCGTCGTCAGCGCGCGTCACAAGCCTTCGCGAGCCCGCCCCCTCGTGCACCCCTGGCCCCGATGAGGGTGCCGGGCGCCCCGCTCGCAACGGCAATCGCACGTCACGATTTCCAAAAAGAATCGCCGGACCCCAGCGCCGGCGCGTGCGTCCGCTTGCATTACAGCAATTGGACGCTGCTCGCCCATGCAACCTCAGACTGCGCAGTGTCGATTCTTGAATAGTATCAAAAACCCCTTTGTATCGCTTCCCACATGGCATCGGTTCCCACCCACCTGTCACAAGGTAGATCTCAACCCCCGAGGCCGCATTGCGCAGGTGCACCTTCAGCGCGCCGTACTCAACCCTGCGGGGCAGGGGGGGGCACAAAGTGAGCCCACGTGATGGTCTGGCGGCGAAATCGGGCGGCAACGCAGAAAAACAGCCGGTGGGGCGGGTGCCGTTTGCACCCTGCTCGCCCTGCTGCCAGCTTCAGTGGGGCCAATCCTGTGCACCCATGCCTGCTTTGATCGCAGGTGACGTCACTCTTCAGCGGCCACAGCGAGGCGATCATGCAACATAGGTATGAAACTATCAGCGGATGGCTCACCCAAACAGCTCGCCCATGTACGGCTGCACTTGTTCAAGGCGCACATGGCGCATCCCCAGATCATCCACCTTGTCAGCTTCCACAGGCTGCGCCCGCCCCTGCGCCTGCGCCAGCCGCAGCGTCGCCGAGGGCACGCTGAACGCGGAGGCTACCGCTGTGATGATGTCATTGACTGACGGGGCGCCGACGGTTGGGAAGCTGCCAGGCAACTGCTGTGGCTTGGGCAGGACCAGGCGACGGATTAGGGTCGCGTTGGCCTGCAGTGACTGGGTGGCCGGGTCGTACTTCTGGCAAGTGAACGCGCCGCCGCCGTCGCTGGCTTTGGACGGCTGCTGTGCAGTTGCGATGCGCATGAGCGCCTGCGGGGGCAGCTTGCTGCCGCGCTCAAGCTCGCGCAGGGAGAAGCGGCGCTGAGACCCGTCACTGCCGCCAAACGGCCCCCAGCCCGCGGGGTTGCGGCTGCTGCCTCCGTCCCAAGGGACATCCGAGGACCTATAAGATACCTGCGCGTCCCCTATGAAGGCCTGCGCTCGACATGCGAGGAGAGCACGCGATGGACCGCATGTAGCCGCTGCCGTGCAAACAAGGTGATTGGTGCTGTATAATGTCTGAAACATATCATATTACTAATACGCTCCTCACCTGGGCTCCATGGGCGATGACCAGGAAGAGGGCCAGACCTCCCGTCGAGAGCATCGTGCATCGCCCGCGCCCCACCAACAGGGCTTAACCACCACACAGCCACTTATAGCTGTGTGAGGTGGCAGAATCACCCCCTGCCTTGGGCTGACGACAACAGCGTCTGCAGCATGAGCAGCTCTTCGACTCTAGCTTCTCTGCGAAACGCGTAGAAGCAGCGAAAATCTCTGAACGTGCGTTTATACGACAAAATCGCTTGGTGGGACCTGCGGCTTCCCCGGGCGCTCTCATTGTTTCCGGTGACGCGGCCGGCGGCAGCTGACCGACAACGGTGCAAAACGGCCGCGATTGGGACGAACGGACGAGCTGCTTGAGGGGCGAGGCCTTTCCAGCATCAAAAACTACTTGTGACATTGCCAATGCCTTCTGAATAGAGGGGTAAAGAGATCAGGCTGGCCAGCCAGCTGGGGTGGATGCAGGCCGTTTGAATGTCGGGCATGTACAGTAACCGACTTGTGCACGGAGAGCGGGGAGTGCGGGTGGGTTGCTGTCAGGTGACGAAATAAGAGGCGCTCACCATAGCTGCTGCTTGGGCGACGCAAACCCGCTTGTGTTCATCTGCGACGCGTGCCGCTGGCTGCTTGAGGGGCATCAGGAGCTGGGTGCTCGCTGCCGTTTGGGTCAGGCCCGCACCCACAAAAGCAAGCACCATTACGAGGCGGTCTGCTCGCGCACACACGGCTGCAACTCAAAGCACGCCCATGTCCATTCTTGGGCCACATTTGCCTGATGGTGCCCTGACGCATGAAACCGCCAGGCGCCAGTTACAAGCCAGGCTCCCCAAATCCATCCTGCGGCTGGGCACGCCAGCGGCAGCGGTGCTTACCGCACGTGACGCCGTCGGCGCGGCGTCCGCTGCCGCTGCTGTTGTGAACAGCATAGCCATGTGATTCTCTTGGAAACCGCGTGCGCACGTGCTGGCACTGTGCATAATCTTCCTCTGCATATGATGGCCACAGGTGTCACGAGAGCAGGAGGTGGCAAGATAGATAGCAACAGGACCTGGCTAGCAGCTGTAATGCTTGAAATGCCGCGCAGTTAGCTGGGAGTTGGTCGCTGCAAAAGCAAGGCACAGCCCGCCCGTGGTTTGCTGGCTGTGTTTTGCCACACAAAGATCCACTTTTGGTGGCGTTTTGCGCCGCCTGATCATCTGAGAGCTGCGACCGATCAGACCTCTTCCCCGGCAGCTTGTTGCTGGGGGTATGACTGAGGCCAAGTCGGGAGAGTGGCAAGCGCATCGGCGTGCGTGTGCTCAGCACTGGTGTGGTGTGTTTACATGTACATGTAGCAAATCGCGCTGATTCTGGTGGTGAACATCTGTGGAAAACTGGGCAGAGCAATCATGCTGCGAGACCGCGCTCTCAACAGGGGCCGCGCACATGCGCTGCCGAAACAAGAAGAAGAGGCGTGCAATGGTCAACGTACGCCAGGAGCGGCGCCAATACGGTTATCAGGGAAGGAACAACACACACAAACATGTCATGCCGGCCAGCGACTTCAGATGGTGCCGCGGCGGCTCTCACAGGATGTGTGGAGTGGCGTATGCGCCCGTAAACAGAGTGAAATTCAGAGCCGACTTCTGCCGCGTCCAAGACGCGCCTGCAGCAGCATCTCTAGACTGGTCAAATCGTTTTTTTTCCTGAGCAGGAACAGCTGTACCAAACGAAACTACCTACCCTTTTCTGCGCAACCGAGGCTGCGCGCAACTGCCACTGCAAGTCGCAACCGTTGGGCTACCGCTGCCCACTGCATCGCCCGCCAAGACCGTCAAACTCTCCAATGTCGGTGTTCGTGAGTGCTCCACGCTTGCCTCAGGGCAATGTCAAGTCCGCGCTGCATCAAGCCTTTGCCGCGGCGGGCGCGGGCGCGGCCTTGAAGAGGCTCCCGAACGCGTAGCCGTACGACAGCGCGAGCGCGGCGCCCCCGACGATGTTTCCGAGAGTCACCGGCAGCAGGTTGGCGGTGATGAAGGTCCCCAAGCTGACCGGGGCGCCGACTGCGGTCGGTCGCATGGCGGGGCAGGGCGGGGGGGAGAGGGGGTTGGG